GAGAGAGAGAGAGAGAGAGAGAGAGAGAGAGAGATTCATTTCCCATTAGAGGGTGTGTCATGAGGCTTATACAAGACAACATTTTCCTCCCTTCTATCTAGTTCATTCAGGCCACAAGAAGTGAAGATGAACTGGAACATTTCCAGGCATTTAGTGACTAAAATGTAACACCAGGCTGTACTTAACCGATATATACAAGGGGAAGCAGTTTTGCTGCAGAGAATTATGGCTAAAGCTGTATACACGCTTACCTGGCCTTAAGTACCATTTAATTCAGTAAGACTTCCTTCTGAATAGTTACATATAGGATTGCACTGTAAAAACAACTGCTAATAACTGTAAGCTACGGGCTTTCTTCTACATGAGCATTCTTCTGCAGGATGAATATAGGGAGATACCATACTGCCTCAGAGAAATTCCAGACAACGAACTGAAAAATTCACCAAATAGTGAAAACAGGGAGAAAATACTATTATATCATATTATATCATATACAATATGGGGCCAGGATGTTGCCAGCCAGGTTCTGTGTAGCCAACTTAATAGCAATCAGTGTGTTAGCTGGGGGGGAAATATTGCATTTTCCCAAGAACAACATATTGATCTCAGAGAATGGAATATTCTTATAACAGAAATGCTACCTTGCAGAAAGACAAATAGAACAGGATGGAAAATTGGAAACAAATGTGCATTTATAGTATGTATACACACACACAGCCCTTTTTCTATGGAAAACAAAGCAGCTGGGCATGAAAAATCTGCCTTTTGCTTTCTACACATAAATATACACGCATGCTACCATTGCCACTAGAAATGCTGGAGGAATCTCTTTTCAACCTGAATTAATCTGCATCTCCTAGAGAAATGTGCAGATCAGAACTTAGTAGTCAGATGGATTTTTCATTTTCCTTAATATTATGCTGGAGTTTGTGGCTCAAAAAAAAAAAAAAGTCCAAATGTATTTAAACTGTGTATTTTGAGGATAAAGTGAACGTATCATGCGTGTTTTCTAACATGTCCAAAAGATACATATTGATATAGTTTTTAGTGCCAAGGTTTGTGTAGTTTTAGAAACTCAGCCTGCAGAATGAGCTAGGAATAGAATGGAACTACTGATTGACATTTGTAAATGCCCACCCCACCCCATTTGCCTTAGGTAAAATAAAAGAGAGCACAGTTGGTTAGGGGCAAATGGAATTTCACAGCCTGTATGCACAGATCTCCATCTGGACTTTATTCTGTAAATCTCCTATCACAATAGTCAGCAAACAGGAAGGGAGCAAGCTGAATATCTACTTCTGAGTACGTGAACAGTGCGAGGAGGCTTCGTGCAGAGCTTTATATCATCTGAAGACAGGTAATGGCAGGCTTGTAGTCTTCTCTTGCATAATGGGACATGAATGCAGAGGTTGGCTCTGCTCCTGAGGGAATGGGAGGTGAATGGGCCTCTGCCCTAGCTGCCTGTAAAGTGTTGTAACCATGGGAACAGCACGGGTGGCATGGGCTAATGAAGCTGTAACTGTCAAGCTCTGAGAATGAAGGAGCCCCCTGTGATTCCAAAGTCAGGAGTACAGAGGGAGAAGGATAGCTCTGGCCTTCACAGCAGCGAGTTAGAGAGATTTTAGCACCCAAGCTGATAATGCAGCTCGTTTTGTTCCTTAATCCGCTCTTGGGATGGCCTCCCTCATATCAAGGCAGGGACAAAAGGCAAAAGAGCAGTGACCCATTCAAATAAAAGAAGCCACCATTGCCCCAGGATTTCATCCTGTCCCCCAAACCTTAACGCCCCTTTACATTGTCCCTGAAAGATACACAGAGCTGGATTTCATCACAAAGTAGAGGTTCTCCTTCAAGGTGTAGGTATGTGATCTACTCTATATTACAGGAACAAAGCCAAAATGTATCTGCATGAATGAGGCAACCCAGCCCTGCAGGTTGGGTGTTACCATCTCCTTGCACATGACATACTTGCTGTGACTGCAGCCTGAACAAGCTGCCTGCTCAGATGCACAGTCCATGTTCCCATAGCTTCGGGCACACAGAATCCACTTCCATATGGAAGAGATGCCTTCTGTCATTACCCCATCCTCTTCTTCTCCTGGAGATAGAAAGAAGGGGCTGGTCTTTCTGAAAGAGAGACAGAAGTTGTTGCACCAACACTAGAAAGGAGTGGGGCTTAAAATCACTCACACAGTCTCTATTTAAGTTCAGATCATTGAAGCAGAAGAAACATCTGCTCCAAGAGTCTTCTAGGAATAGGCCAGGAACTGCATTATGTTTAATCTCTGTTTCTTTGTGTTGTGCTAATTATCTTATATTTCTCTGTGTGAGGTAGTGAACTCTGTGTGATTTCATTTTTTATCCATTCTTCAGGCTGGGCACAAAGACATTAGTTTTCTTTATAATGTTCTTGTAGTTAGTAATATTCAATTGCAGCATCTCCCATCTTACAGGGAGAATGGGCTGTTTGTAGCAGACTAGCACCATCTTCCACTTTCTTTTGGAATGTTCCTGTTTAGTTGCCAACTGTATTTGAACAGCTCTATAATTTATCTTTATTGATGTTGACTGTTTGTGTTTTAATATATAAAGTTAAAAAGGAGGTTGCATCTTATTTTTAAATAAAGGTTCATTTATTTGTCTATCTCCCAAGGAGGGGAGGAAGGCCTCAATTGTATCTCTCCATGCTACACAGCCAGGAGATTGCCATATTGAAATTCTTTTGCATTTTCACCTTTTAATTGCCAGAAAATTGTGAGATGATTTCTAGGATGGATGTCAGAGGAAATACTCCTGGGCATAGGTCATGGCAGAGGGAACTACCAAGCTGCTGCTCCAGTGCGGAGGCAGGGCAGGGTATGAAGTTTGAGAGGGCTTCTTGGAGGATATTTAAAGCCTCCAGCCTTCAACCTTATCAGCTCAGCAGCCCCTTGCAGACAGTTCACTGATAAACTGAAACATTAAAAAAATATGAGCCCTTATACACAGCCCAAAAGTATAAGAGTTGTCAAAGAGCATTCTCAAAAAAATGTGGGAATTGTAGATGTGTGAAGGGGGGCGATGAGGAACTGAATTTTCTTTTCTCATTAAACTTTACCAAGATTCTTTAATTGTCCCAAAGTCAATTTTGAATTTTTCATAGTTTAACAATAACAACAAAAACAGTATTGCAGAGCAATCCTAATATAAAATAGATTATTCCATATTTGAAGCAGAAATTCACAACTGTCTCTTTTTTTGTTTGTTTGTTTGTTTGTTTGAAGCTAGTCTAAATTTCTATCTCATCTGGGAGCATGGGAGACAGTTGTCATGCCCCAGCATGCCCCATTTGGGGACATTTGAAGGTTGAAACTTCCAGAAAACATCAGCCTTGATGGCAAGTAGACAATGGGTTGAGTGAAGACTAGTGGCCTCTGGGACTGATGTCCTTAGTGTCACAGGAATGTAACCTAACATTCTTTTTGTTGAATTGAACTTTTTTTTTTAGATGCTTGAAAACCTTTCCAAATCTGATTTTTTTTTCCATAGATCATCTTTGAAGGTGTCCGTGGGACAGGTTCTGAGGGAGATATTGCCATTGATGATGTTACTCTTAAAAAAGGTGATTGTCCAAGAAAGCCAATTGTCCCAAATAAAGGTGAGTAATTATCCTTGGTGAATTGTATGCAACATTGCATCACAAATCTACAAAAAAGATGGGGAATGCTCTGTGTGTTGACTAACATGCATGCTTATGTGTATCTATCCATAATAAGCATGTACTTGTGCATCTCTATAGAGAAAGAGAACAAAATAATAATAATTATTAATTACTGACTGCAGTATATCCAGCTCATTTAAATTATTGTAATCTTCCAAGTTAATGTCAATGCCAGACATAGTTCTTAATCACCTTGCCACAGAAAATAATGAAAAGTTTATTTTTCTTCAGACTCTTTGATAAATTGGTTACCAAACAAATTGTATGTTAGAATCTACATACCCAGAAAAATAGTCATTATAGTAATAACCATAGCATACAAAACAAGACATCCTTGTTCAGTAATAATAATCATAACAACAACCATGATGATGGATGGATGATGGATCTGTTGATTCTTATTATGCAGTGTGAGACAGAGAGATGTTTTCCAAAATTATGGATATTTTTCCCTGGGCATATTTGTCTTAAATTTTCCCCACCTATTGCACACCAATGGCAACAGCATCAATGTCAAAGAGGAGACTATTTTTTTCACTGTTTGAGAATTATTCTTGGTAAATATATTAATCCTAAAATCCTAAATTTTAAGCAGAACTTGATTAGATTCTTCTGTTAAGCTCTGCTTAAAGGATAAAAAGAAACTATAGGCCATCAACAATATTTTGTGTGTAGGATGTCCAGAATTAATCCTTGGTATTCTAGTTTAATAAAACAAACAAGCAAAGAAAACAAAACAAAACAAAAATAGGATCAGGTAGCAGATGATAGGAAAGTCCTTTTTCTGCATTAGATCCTAGAAAGTCTCCATCAACTGAAATAGACAGTGTTGAGCGATTGAACAAATCACAGAATCATTGATTTGGAAGGGACCATCAAATCCAACCTCTGCTCAGTGCAGGAATTTCAAATTAAACCATTCCAGAAAGATGGCTGTCTAGCTTCTGTTTGAACACATCCAAAAAAGGGGAGCTTACTCCCATTCTGAATAATTCCTTCCACTGTCAAACTGAACTAAATGTTAAGAATTCTTTTTCTAATGTTTTACTGGAATCTGTCTTCGTGTCGGGTCACCCTTTATTTTCCGTACTGCACCTGGAATGAGAGAGATCAGATCCTGATGTTTTTCTACGTGACATCTTTTCAGGCATTTGAAGAGTGCAATCACATCCCCTCTCAAATATCTTTTCTCAAGGCCAAACATACCTTCCATCTTTCTTTATAGGGTTTAGTTTCTAGTCCTCTGATCATCTTTGTTACCCTCCACTGATCCACTGTCTCTGAATCCTTCTTAAAGTGTGGTTATACAGGTGTTATATGACCAAAGCAGAATAGAGTAGAATTATTAATCTGGCTCAGCATGAGGAAGCTTCCTACATTAGTTCATTGAACATTGTCCTTGGACACTTTTTTTACATCTGCTCTATTCTTCAAAGTCTGGGTTTGTCTTTATACAAAAACTGAAGGAAAGACAAAATCTCAAAATCGCTGTTTTATTTTGCAAGCCTAATAAGGCAAGAAATTGGTTTTGGTTGTGCAGGTACAGTAGCCTCTAAAAACAAGTTAGTTTCTGAAACATTCAGCTTGCACAGTAGAACTAGCTGTTTAAGATTCTAATTGTACTTTTGTTCTCATGCTATTTCAGTTTTCAGTGCATCCAATTCTTTTGTTTGGGTTGGTATATTCTTGGAATTCCTTTCCTTCTTAGATCATTTCATTCCACAGTAATTTGTTTTGCAAACCACTGATAATTTTCATGACATAACTTTTCTCTTTCTTTCCCTACAGCAGTTGCCCTTCCAGGAAATTCTGCTGTCCCCCGACACACTTCTTCTCTCTGTGAGCCGCTACTTTTCTTTCTTTATGTGCTGCTCAGATGATAGCAAGTGAATGCTCCTGTTGTCTGAGACATTCCTCCTCCTTTCCTACTTGGTCACCCTCTGCTTCTCTTTCTCCCCCTCCTCACTGACACACCAAAGTGTCCATATGTTACCAAAGACTAACATGCATGACCACGCAAAGGGGATCCAGCTAAGAACCTGAAGGATTCCTGGAGGAAGTCATACTGTCTAAAAACAAGATACATATAAATAAAGAAGAGACAAAAAAAAAACAAAGAAAAGGAAGAGGGAGGAAGCAATGGAAAGAAGAAATGGAAACAAAGAATGAAAGGCAATGCTGAGGATGAGAATGATATTTAAAAGGATCAATGGAAGGGGGAAAGGCATGTTTCTTTAAGAACAGTGGACAAGACTTCCTCAGGGAAGTAGGAACTTTTGTTTAAAACAAAAACAAAATATATTAAAGCACAAATTTCTACCAGAACTGTTACCTTCTTGGCTGCAGAACCACAGTTTAGAAGATATTCTAGCGTACACAGTGCTATCCTTTGGAATCTCTGTGTTAAGACTTCTCCCTTACCGGTTTTGCCTACAACCTGTCTACTGCAGCGCCACCTCATACTTCTCCCACTCGCCTCTGATGACCACAGAACCTTGTCCTCACTTGCATGTACTTCTGAGTCTTCATATCCATTTTTAAGACGCTCATGTATTTCCTTGTCCATCTACAATTTGCCTTGGCCCATCCGCCCCCAACTTCAGCTCAGCAAAGCAAAGAAACAAACCTTTTGTGGATTATGGAGATGAATGGAGAAATCTAGGGCAAACATAAGCTGCAGGATCAGCTGTTGGCATCCCTCACCTACCCACTTCTTTTCTCCTTTTTCAGGCTGCTCACTTCTCTCCTTTAGTAACTATTTTTTTCTACCATCCCAGAGACAGATTGTCAATACAGCACAGAGACTAAAAGAAAAGGCTCCTTGTTTGAGGACCAAAGTAAAGAAGCTGAGTAGTGACATTGCAGTCAGTTAGTATCAAAGCAAGAGCTTCAGAAGCCTTAAGGCAAGGATTTCCTCCACCTTTTGTTGTTGTTGTCGTTGCTGCTGCTGCTGCTGCTGCTAATTTATCTATTTCCCATTTCCTTTTTGTAGTTCAGCCCTTACAGCCCCACTTTTTTTTAACTACAAGGGGAATCATACAGATGCACCCTTATGACATCTGAAATTGCAATATTCCTTGTCAGTTGTGGTACTTATCCTTGGCATATTATTAATCAAGGATGCTGATACCATGGTGCTTGATTTGCTACTGAAGGATTGACTAGCTGTATTGCAGCTGCACAATGAGGCGATAGACAAATGGAAGCAGAAAATAAAACTGGCTCTACATAAAGGAGCTGGGATAGGCAGACTGTTTTAGTTTTGAAAAAGAAAATACAGCTGGTCCTTGTTTAGCTACCACAATTGGGACTGGTAATTTGGTTGTGAAGTGAAGTGGTCACTAAGTGAAACCATGACTGTGCTTTCAATCTTACTTCAGCTTTCCTTTGCTTTACAGACATGCGAAGGCCGTAAATGCGAGGATTGATTACAAAGTTACTTTTTCATCACTGTCATAACTGCAAACAGTTGCTGTATGAGGCAGTTGGTAAACAAGGACTACCTGCACTTAGATTTCAGTCAATGCAGAAAGAGAGAGGGAAAAAACACTGTTTTCAGGGACACCACATTACCACTGTGAGAGGAATGTTTTCTCAGGAAAGCACACTTGCACTTGGCAGTCCTGAGCCTGCAAGATCATTGAGGCCAGCTCTCAATTATACAAGGAAGAACTGGTCTACCTAGTAGGCAGAAGTTATTACAGCAATGACATGCTCTGCATAAACCTTACTTGGTCCCTAAGATTTTAAGCAGCATATATTTTTCCTCCATCCACAGTCTTCCGCACCAACTTGCTACCAGATATGCTGGACTACAGCTCTCAGAATTTTCAGCTGGCTGAGAATTCTAGCATTTGCAGTCCAACTTGTTTTGAGAGCATTAGGCTGGGGAAAGCTGATCTAGCAGTTCAAATACTCGCTAAGTGCTGCTTCCAGCTGCTTCAAAATTCCTATCAATAAAAACAATATAGCTTTTTGTTTGGACATAAAGACCATATACCTATAGGTAGATTAAATTTCTGGTTGCCTGAGCATATTGTTAGCCCTATAGTGGACTGGAGGAAGGTAGAAGAGAGCAAGCAGTGCATTGGGAGAGTGTGTGGTGATGTTTCTGTGGGTCTGTCTGTGTTCTCTGGGTTTACAAACATGCTAACAGGATGAAGGATAGCTAATGCTAACCCAGATTCTGATTTGTATAAAGTTCTCATATTAATTTTGATCTGATTACATAGTTTCTTCCTCGCAGAAGGCAAGATGAGTTTATCATTCCCACCAGTCCAGAGATATAAAGTTTTAGATTATTCATTGTGAAAAGCTATCCATGATACATATCTCTCACTAAAAGAAAAATAGTAGAGAATGGATAGCAAAAGTGGTCTCCCTTAATAATAATCTCCAAAATCCTTTCCATGATTGATATTGATAGTTCCCTCTAAAAGATGGAAATGGCCTCAGCCTTCCTTCTGTTTTCAGCATGCTGAAGCCATTGAGGTCAAGTCCTGGGAATGTTCTCCTTATCAAACTGAAACATTAACTTCTGCCAACCGTCAGCAGAATCTAAAGGCAGAGTTAGGTAACTGGGAGGCACAGCGTGGCCACTGGGAAACTCATCACAAGTAACATGGGACAGAGATCTCTCCAGCCTCCAACTTCACAAATTAGCCTAGCCCACCAATTCCACCATCTCCCCAGGTTTCCATAGTTCCTCAGGTTTCTGAACCCAGGCTTAGACCAGTAGGTCCTTTTTTAATGGAAAAGTTCCACTGAGCCTGTGATCTGACAAAGATGGGTCATCTATATAATGGGGTATTGTCAGTATCTGAGCATTAAGCGTGCTACAAAAGTCATTCCATCTGGGCTCAAAAAGAGAATGAGCTTCCAAAAGGGAAGATGCAACATAACTCTTGGTGCTGGCACTTATTCTGGGCCACCTGTGT